CTAGAGCCATTGTTGAAAAGCAATCTGTCAATACTATAGAGATATGTAGTTGAATTTACTATTTTGCAGGTAATCGTAACTCAAATACAGTTTTAGTTGAAGGTTGATACTTCCTATCCAAATTGGTTCTTTCTGGAAATGTTTCTTAAAAAATAACTTGCATGAAATGTCGTGTCATAGTTTCAATTGACATTTGCATATAACCAGGTATCTTTATATTTAACTGCAGGTAAACGATTTTATGCCCACAAAATCTGTTTACTTGCTTCTTTAGATGCATTTCGTGCGATGTTTGATGGTGGTTATAGGGTAGATATATCTCCTCTCTCCCCTCCCCCGACTACTATTGATTATCTACCAAAAAATATAAATCCTTTACTGATTCCTCTTTTCCCAAGAAACGAATTTATCACCTACTATTTTGGTTTAATGCTTTCTCTTCCATGTGAAGACTTTAGTTGGATATTTCATATTTGGATTTTGAATTGAATGGTGAATTTAAATATGGCAATAAAAGTTGTATTGCAAGTTTAATTTAAATATATTCCATGTCCTTAATGTACAGTTTATTTACTGTATGACAGGAGAAGGATGCAAGGGACATTGAGATACCAAATATTAGATGGGAGGTCTTTGAGCTGATGATGAGGTCTAATCATATGCTTTATGAAAGTTATGTTGTAAAAGCTTTTAATGATTTGCAGGCAACTTAAATGTCATTGTTTAATCTTTGTCCAGATTTATATATACTGGATCAGTTGATCTAACTGTTGAAATTGCTCAAGATCTCCTCCGAGCTGTTGATCAATATCTTTTAGAAGGGCTTAAAAGATTATGTGAATACACAATCGCACAGGTTAGCTAAGTGATTTGGGTTTGTTAGTGCATTGTTTCCTGAACTAATATTAAAATAGATAGTGAATTCCTCAATACATGTTTTTTTGTCACATGATGTATCACTACATAATAATATAATAAAAAAAAATCTCTCATTACTTGAGTTTTTTGTCACATGATGTATCACTGGAGAGTGTGTCAAATACGTATGAACTTTCAGAAGCATTCAATTCTATATCATTGAGACACACATGCATCCTTTTTATCTTGGAGCACTTCATAAATTAAGTGCAAGGCCGGGGTATCTAATCAGATCTCCTCAATCGCACATTTACTTGCTTTTTTTCAGAACTCTCTTTGCCTTTTTATTGTCTAGAAGGCATTTTTTATAAGCTGATATATAGGCAACCTAAGTGGATTATATATCTTAGAATCTTGAATAAGCTATAGGTTTAGTCTTTATTTTCTTTGTAGTATTGGCAAACATGTTGACCTAAAACGAATTCGAATATTGAAAATTTCTGGCGCATAACCCGGTAACTAAAAAGGAATAGGTCTTCATAATCATGAATTATTTTACCTTGAGTAAAGGTTTCTCACTGATATATGGAACGGGGACTAGCAAATGGTTTTCTCAACATTTGAAGAAAATTAATAAGCTTGGTTCTTATTCCCTTCTATTCATCTTGCTTGCTTTCATTTTGACCAATATGATCATACACTGCAGTCTTATACATAGTTTTATAGATAGATTGACGGTAGACACCAATCTTCACTTTGAAATAAGCTGGATAATCAAGTTTTAGTTGGTCAGTTTCATTTTTGAAGAAGACTTTTAGTTGATAGGTTAAAGCAGTTGTTTGGAGCATGGTTGCTTCCATATACTTCAAATGATAACTGAAGTTCACATTAATGTTGCATTAGTTCTTAATTATCTTTTAATTTTTGTGTTTTTTAAATATCTAAATTCTGTTTGCGCCAACTGTTTGCAGACACACTGATTTGATTCAGCGTACAATACCAGAGATCCACAATTACTTTGTTAAAGCTCTTACGAAGGGGAATTCCAACATCCAGGCATACTAGATTGACATCTAACAAATTGCAATGTGTATATAATATGGTAGATGTTATTGATTATTATTTAAAGTGTGAGGGAGGCCTCCTGGACTCAGAACTGCGTGGTTTTGAAGACACCAGGTGGTGTCTGTTCTTTTTTGATGTCGTGTCTCTACCTTATGTTTGTAACACCGTTGTCGTAAATGTAGTAGCATACATGACCTTACAGTTTGAAATATGAAATTTACGCATTACTTTATCTTGCTTGGTTATAGTGGCCTCTTACTCTAACTTACCTGTTACTTAGTTTTACTTTAACCAAGTAAAGATCCTAGATAATTAGGCAGGCATGTGAACCAATGATATTTTTTGTTGAACTCTTATATAGGTCTTATATATGAAGAGAATATTGTTCTCATCAACTTATTCATATTTTATAGGTGTAAGAGCAAGAGACTGGTATATACTTATTGAGAATTTCAACTTTTCAGGTATCACTTGAAAGATGTTATCATTGGCAAGATATACTTCTTACTTGTCAGAATCAAGATAAAAAAACATGGACCTTGAGATTAGACGCCGAGAATCCACAGGATCAGGGACCAACACCCACGTGGAGACAGAAACATTGGCTAAATTCGAGTTGATGGATGGTGCTCTTGTCAGAGGTAGGTTAACCTTGAAATTGAATGAGTAAACAAAATAAAACAGAAAGTTTAAGCTACCACTCAAGTTTGCAAGCAAAGCAAATTAGTCAGTGCTAATTTCTTTTTGGTTTTTAACCCTCTGACTCTCAGGGCAAAGAGGCCCTGATAATCTAAAGTTTGTCCGAGAGGTAAGTAAAGTATGGCTGTGTGAGTATATAGTATCTTTCTATTGATACTGACCAAGGATTGCTCCGGCCAGAGATCAATATCGGATACTATCAATCAATACGACATTAACTGAAACTCATTAACACCACTTGGTTAAGGCAAAAATTATCTGCCACTTGAGCCATGCCAAATTTTCTCAGACATGCATTCTACAGCAGATGATTGTTACATATAATAAATTTCACCTTTTAATATATGTTATGTAATGAGTAGATCTCAACATTAGCAACTCTACTATTCAAGGACAACAATACGATCATCAAAATGAAATGAACGGTTAATACTATCATCAACATGTTAACCCTGAAGTAAAAGCTACTTCATAATGCACTGAATAATGCTTGATTGGTTTTACAGGTGAGTCAATATCGATCAGACTATTCCTCAGTTCTTATGAGCTGACACCGACTCATCACAACATCAATAACAAATTCAGTGTGAAGTATTTCTTGAATCTTGTGTTGGTTGATCAAGAGGACAAACGGTATTTCAAGCAACAGGAAATCACAATGTATAGGCTGGAGGAAACTTCATGAACAATTATCATAGTATATCTCATGACACAACTATTTTATATATTGTTTTAAGTCCATTAGTAGGTATGACATTCCGGTTATGATAAAGTGTCTAAGATCTCAAACAAATCCTGTGTGTATTTGTCTTCACTTATTAAATTTATTGATTAAACATTTTTCTTCTTAAACGTGTTGCAAGAGTTGTGTTGATCATTCTTCGTAATTTGACCTTCTTCATTGGTTCCATTAGATTGCTCCCGCTGCTTGCAATAATTCTCTCTTACTCATTCAAACAAATTTTTAAGGATCTTTAAACTATATAAATGTTACAGTAAACTATATAAATCGATATTAACCTCTCTTCTATTTTTTTAGGTTAAATTAATATCGTGCAGTTCATGCTAATGCTATTGATAATTTGCATTGTACACTAAAGGCACACTTTGAAATCCATGGTGTTATGGTTGGATATATTAATATGTTGTGATACGAGACAAAACCAATTAGATTCAAATAAGAAATCATGTATAAATATTGCTCTAAAAAATGAAAAGTCTAAAATTCTAATTATTATATATTTCAATCTTTTCACTGTAATGTTTAAAATCTTATTCAAATACATCATAAAGTTACACGAGATACAATCAGTTAGATTTGAATAAAAAAACATATATAAATACTGCTCTTAATGTGCATTTGAATATAATTCAACTATTAACATGTTTAATATTATATCTCATTTTTTTTCTCATACCCGTGCGGACGCACGGGTATTCTACTAATATATATATATATATATATATATATATATATATATATATATATATATATATATATATATATATATATATATATATATATATATATATATATATATATATATATATATATATATATATATATATATATATATATATATATATATATATATATATATATATATATATATATATATATATATATATATATATATATATATATATATATATAATTGTTTAAATTTTTTTTTGTCTTTTTATATGATACTCTTTGGAATTTCGACTGTATTATTTTTTTTTATCAAGTATTTTTTTACCGTATATCTCAATTTAATTTTTTTAATCATTTTTTTCAATCAACAATATATAATATCACAGAAATATATACTAACTCCCTTTCTCTTAAATAACAAAAATTCGAACAATCAAATATCAATTATCCAAAATAAAATTTAATATTATTACAATTTTTTTAAATCCTATGATTTTATCAAAGAATCCTATATTTAGAATATAGAACCAATGTAATATTAAAGTTCTTAAAATTTATAATAATGGTATTCAACTTGTTAAAATTTATACTATTTGTCTAATTTTTATCTTTTCTCTCTCACACACACACGTGTCTATATATATATATATATATATATATATATATATATATATATATATATATATATATATATATATATATATATATATATATATATATATATATATATATATATATATATATGTAAAAGAGTCACATGTTTAAATACGGCGGTAATGAAAAATAAAAACATACAACATTTGCACATAAATATAAAATAAAAAACCCCAATTTTGATTACAGACTCTAACATTTATAGCAGCACAGCACACACGTACGTAAAAGAAACCAATATCCCCACCAACCAACCACACGAACCAAACCCTACCTTATTATTGTTACCTACATATATATGATTCAACATCTACATGTCTCTAACATGAAAATAGTTCTTGTTCTTAACAACAATGTCATACATGTGCATGGGCTTGAGCTTGTTGAAATCCTTTGGAAGAGAAATAAGGTACACGGTGGAGCGTTTGTGGAACTGAAGCAGATGATCAGGGTCATCGTAGTAGCGTTCCCAACCTAGAGAGCTTAGTTTTCGTTCCAGCATAGAATAGGAAGTGATAACTTCATTGGTTGGGGTGTGAACAAGCACTTTTCTCCTTCCGCTATTCTCACCCCCTTCACCTCCAGGGTTCTCTACCAGCCTCACCACCCCGTTCTTAAATACCCAAACCCCAGACATCAGTTTATGTATACACAAAACAAACACTAAGAAGAAAAGTTTATGTACTTGTGTTTGTGTTTGTGTTTTTGCAAAGTTACTAGCTAGCTTGGATAGAGTAGGATATATATAATGGTGGAGGTGTGAGAAGTAAGGGTGAGATATCTGTTAACAAATGAATTATTTTATTAGATTATATACTCGTATCAACGTTACATATAGATGGGGGAAGAATGGGAGATTATAATGTGTTTATGTGAATCCAGCTAATGTGGGACCCAGCATGGAAAAGTCTTAGACAAACTAAAATTAAGATTCATTTTGTGGACAACTAGGGTGTGTTTGGGATAGGGGAGGTTCATGTCTCATTATCGAATTGGGGGAATCTTTAGTCTAAATTTGTAGCTCCAAATTAAGCATCTCTTAATAGTCTAAATCTTAAATCTATTAAGCAACTCCAAATTGACGGATATAGTTATACAGTGAGGAGTTACAATGTTATCACTTAAACGTTGAAGTTGTTGAAAGAATCAAAGTGATATAAAAGTAAGGATGAATTTGAATAAGTAAGAATAATTTTTAGTATGAATAATCAAGGAATATATTGGCAACCGACTATGCGAACAGCCAAGAGCCGTTCAATTGATCTGAACGGTGGATGGTGCATCAAAAGATAGAATTATTTACTTAAGTCCAACTCATTTATACACATCTCTAAATAATTATAAATAAATATACATCTTTGATACTTTATCAAATACTCTTAGGTGTTGATCTCTACTTTCGACATAAAAACTAACAAGAATAACCAATGATTCTTTAAAGAAAATCTGTTGTTTTAGTTTGGCAGAGAAATAATTCTTCTAGAAACAGTGCCAAAAATATGATAAAGTCTGTCCACATATATATACAGTTGTGTGCATGACAGCATCTTACCAAAGAGTATCACGTAAAGGATTTAATTGGCCAGAAAGGAAAGGAGTTATTTATAAAATTGTGTGATAAAGTGGCAATGGAATGAAAAATATGAGAAGAAGGGGAGTGGAGAAATATAATTAGCACATGAATGGTTATTATGGAATAAATTTCTTTATTATAAATAGAAACTTTAGAAAGAAGGATCTATGCGTATTGCATAACGTGAAGAGTGGGGGTGGGGACCAAATATAAAAGGAATGGCTTTTGAATTAATTAGGGTCGTTGGTGTAGAAATAGTATTGGTGATTTGCATTACACACAACATGTATAAGAGTTTGTATGGGAGGAGATTTTAATTCCAAGCATTTTCCTTTTTGTTTTATTTGCCAATCTGTCCATGCAAACTATTTATTCCTCAACAAAAAAAAAGAATTTTTCTTCCTAACTAATTTTGACAATTCAAATTACTAGCTTTCAATTTATAAATATGAAGCTAAAAGTAAAGAGAAAAGTGAAGAGGTATAATATGTGCACGGGTTTAAAAAGGTGGAGATATTTAAAGGCTTTAGTAGGTATATAACAATTTGTGGTAGTTAGGGTTTGTTCACGACAGCGAGAAATTATATATGGTGATGTTTATCGTGGTTTAAAGGACCTGCTAACGTGAGGTGGGAGGCTCTCTATATATTTGGTGCTTAGGTATAAACGAATGAATTAGGATATGTCCCTCTCCCCTTACATGTGAAGTATTTATAGAGACAGTTTGAGCTTCGGGTTTAGGAAACCCCTAGGGGCAGCGACAACTTTCCCTGATTAAGAGAGACTGTTGACCACCTATTTCTCAGGGAGTCGTGGTGTGACTTATTCCCATATAACTAATGAGAGATAACGATATTGTACATATCACATGTTTCGAAGGCGAGCCCGCATGCTCTATAGGGATATCGCTCGTGCGACATCACTTTAGGCGGGGACCCAAGAGTCGTCCTTATTTGGGACTCTCACAAATACAATAATACACGGTCCCTAAAGCACGATGGCTTTGTAAAAGGTGAAGTATTTTCAAGGATTCTTTCATTAGTGAGGTACCTCAACTTAGGGTGAGTTCCTCAACTGAAAACGACCTTTCTAATGAGAGGTGAGTTCCTCCACTTAAGACGAGTCTCTCAGTTGAAGGAAACTTTTCTAATGTGAGGCGACCCCCTTAGCTTAGGACGAGTCCCTCAGTTGAAGACGATCTCTTCCATTTGCGTAAGCCCTTAATTAAGGGATGACTCATCTCCCATTGCCAGATGTCTCCTAATTAGCTAAAAATGTCAACTGGAAATTTCAATCAATTATTCAGATGACCACGCTTACTTTCATTTAATATAAGTATTGATGGTCTAATTTTCAAGACCTTAAACGCTACTGGCATGTGTCGAAAACGTGTTGAGTTTTTCAAATTTATGGGGGAGTCTAAAGGGTCCCTTGTGGTTCCGACTCCACTATAAAATCTTTCTTCTTCCATATCATTTGCTATACTTTGCTTCCTACTTCTATAAGCTCATCTGAACTACCCAGCTCCTCATATCCCCTGATTCCTCGTTCACAACCTTCTTCCAAGTATGAATTCCCTTTTCTTTTACTTTTTTCTAAAGTGAGTAGGGTCTATGAAGAAACATTCAAAATAGAGCTTAAGTTAACATATGGTCGTAGGTTTTAAAGAGAATAGTTGCCCTCTTTGACGATTGCAATGGTGGTGGTAATTTCTTTTTGTCCTACTATTTTCTCAGGAACAAAAAGACAATGGCTACTCCTTATGTCTTGTTCAAGGACGTCGAAAATACTGGACCTCAATAAACTTCTCATGAACATGTCCTTCTTTTTTGTTCAGAAGTGGAGGTTTCTTCTTCATAATTTGAAGACGGGGTTATTCTTGAGGCTTGTTTGTTGTTGAAAAGGGTGACCACGCTCGTCTCCTTTGATCTTCCTTCTCCATAATTTTACTTCAACCTCCTTTTTATTAGGATATGAGGATTCTTTTCCCCCTTTCCCCTTTTTCTATAGACCTTTTAAGGGTTCTCAACGGTGCACCCTCCCAGGTGTTCCCTAATAGTTGGGGTTATATTAAGGTAGTCAAGATGGTTCGTGAGGACCTGCACGTTACTCCAACTATGGGAGTCTTTTCTCTTTTTACACCACCATACCGGCAAAAGGTAGATATGTGTCTTGAGGCGGTCTACTAGGAAGGATCTTTTTATGTCCCACTCCAATCACTACAAATATTGGAAGGACACGTTTGCTCGTGTGAGGGGGTGAGAGGATTCTTTCGAAGTGTTAGGGGATGATGACGCCCCCTCTTTCCCCTATCCTAGAGTCACCTAGAGGGTTTTACCATTAAAGGAAAAAAGAGGCAAGCCGAGGATCCAACTTAAGGTTTTTCCAACATGATGGATCAGAGGTTAAAGAAGGGTTCTTCCCCAGCTTCTGATACCGTTTCCCCCATATTTTTCTACTTTATGGAGTGACGTTAGTTTTAAAACTCTGATTCAAGAGTTCTCACTTTCCTTTCTCTAAGGATTTTACTACTGACTACCAAGCTCTCAGCTCTAAATCGACCTCTGCCATTGTAAGCATGAATGATAATCTTATGTTTAAGGCTCTAATGATGCAGGATATCAACTAAGAGATGCAAGATAAGGCTGAGAAAGAGGTAGAGGCAGAGCTCTAGAAGCATGTGGACGTCTATAATGAGAGCCAAAGGCTGCTGAAGATTCTCCAAAAAGAAAATAAGGAGTGGAGAAGAAGATGGTAGACGTGAAGGCAATGGCTGAAGAGATCCCTAACAAGAAAAAATCCTTGTATGAATCCCTAGACGCTGCCAACCTTCCCAAGGAGGTGTTAGAGCTTACCGATGAGGTGGTGTCTACTTCTGGCGTCTAATTTGAGCACGTCAAAGAAGAAGGTTCCTTCCTCTACCCTAATATGGATCTTAGCCAAATGGGCTTCCTTAAAGTCATTTGTGATGACCAGCTAGTGGATGAGGAAGCGGTGGCCACCTAAGAGCCTAAATATTTTGCTTCTATCGAAGACACCCATGATAAGTGTAACCCCTCAGACTACTTTAAATGTAACTGACTGACCCCACAAACCAACACTGGTCTTTTTAGCATACTTTGTCATCACTCACATGCTTTCCGGGAAAATTCCCAAAAGATTGTTAAATGCAAATTATAACTTAAATTGAACCATCTTTATTGGAACTTTTCAACTCAATTCTCATGTTTTAATGGAATTATTTATTTTTCTTGTTTAATTCTTCAACATATTGCAAATACCTTTGATTATTTGATGTCTGTGTTATTGTGTAAAATATAGGCATAAAACATCAATGATTAATACACAAGTGAAGTGGACAAGGAAGCCAAGAAAATAAGAGGAATCAGCATGTTCATTGTGTGAACACCAGCGAGTTGAAAGTGAATGCTCGCTGTGTGAGGTCCTAGACAAGCCCCAACGAACCAGCCTAGATTAGAGGCAGTAGGAAAACGACCCAAAGTTCGTTGGGCGAGTCTGTAGTGAAGAGGTTTGCTATGCCAAGAAGTTCTCGCACTGCGAACTCAGATTCCAAGGGCGGTTTAACTGTTCCTGAGGCATTTGGAATGCCCAAAAGTGGTCTTCGTTGGGTGAATGGGGTATTTGCTAGGCGAACAAGACATGTTTTTGTTTTACTATATATGTACTTTTCTTGCTTTTTAGAAACATAACTTATATTTTGAGGATAAAAAATTTATCTCTCTTTATTCCAAGCATATTTTAGAGAGAGAAACACAAACCCTAAGGGAGAGAAGGTAAGAGCTTCGATCTCTTGTTGGGTTTGGATTTAATCTTTTGATATCTTATGTACTTCATCTAATATATGTTTTGTGAACTAGTTTTGATTCAATATTTATGTTGTCTTTGATTTCTTATTTATTGGTCTTGACAAAACCTTTTTCAAATCTTAGATTTTAGATATTCATCTACCGATGAGCAAACTTTTGACACGATCTTGTAAGTTGATATTCACTTGTATCATTGATTTTATTGTGTTTATTAGTAGCATAGATAACATGAGAGGA